CAGTGTTGCAGAATTGCAATATTGTCCATAGCTTATCATGATCTACACAGTTAAAAGGCTTTTGCATAATCAGTGATACACAGGTAAACATCTTTCTGATATTCTCTGCTTTCAGCGAGATCTATCTGATGTCAACAATGAGATCCCTTATTCCACGTTCTCATCTGAACCTGGACTGAACTTCTGGCAATTCCTTGTCAATGTACTATTGCAGCCATTTGTTATTATCTTGAGCAAAGTTTTAATTACATGTGATATTACTGATATTATCTGATGATTTCCTCCTTCTGTTGGGTCACATCTCTTTGGAATGGGCACAAATAATAGATCTCTTCTAATAAGTTCACCAGGTAGCTGTCTTCCAAATTTCTTGGCCTAGATAAGTGAGTGCCTCTAGTGCTACATCAGTTTGTTGAAAGATTTCAATTTGTATTACATCAATTCCTGGTGTCTTTTTCTTTGCGAGTGCCATCGGTACATCTTGGACTTCTTTGTTCGGTACCACTGGCTCTTGATCATATGCTCTACCTCTTGAAATGGTTGAGCATTGACCATTTCTTTTTGGTAAAGTGACTCTGGGCATTCTTTCCATCTTCTTCCTTTATTTTTAAGCTTTTATTGTGAATTGAGTGGCAGTTTACAGAATAGCAGATCATCAGTTTGTACTCAACCAATCATATTTTGTTTCATTGCAATAATTACAATCCCCTCCATGCACCATTGGTTAAAAGTTGTTGTTAAGTGCTGTCGAGTCAGTTCTGACCCATAGCGACTCTGTATAGGGTTTCCAAGGAGCAGCTCGTGAACTTGATCTGCCTACCCTACAGTTCAAACGGCTTTACAGTCTGGCACCTTAACCCACAGCGACACACACTCAGCAAAATTGACAGAGAGGGAAAACCTCACAAAGTGGTTGGTTGCAGTTGTGTGGTCATCTGGTAATTGTACATTTACCTTTGTAAAGAAGTCCCCAACTATTTTCCATAGCAACTGTGCCAATTTACATTCCCGCCAGTAATGTTCGAAGGTTCCAATTTCTTCACTTTCTTGACAACACTTGTTGTTTTCTGTTTTTCTCATAATAGGCATAATAATAATAAGTATCTTATTATTATTTGCTTTATATTCCCTAGTGAATAATGACTTTGAGAATCTTTTAATCACATTTCAAAAAAGGGTTACCAAATTTTGTTTCTATTCAGTAAGTTGTAATTTTGGTGTTCTTTCTGATGTTATCGTTTTTTAAAGTTAAATACAATGGTATCGTAACGTTAATGAATTGTAACATTTAAAAAGATATAAACCTCTTTTTTT